AACAACAATCATTTTACCCGAACGCTCAGTGTTCTCCCCAGTGCCAGGGTTTTCTTGCGACACCAGCCAATACCCCCACTTCGTGGGGGGGCCGTTCAAGCTCTACCAAATATCCAAACGACTCTTCGAGACCACCCACACCCAGCTTCCCGCCCTATGACGTTGGGACACTTCACTTCGTGGCGTGCGGACGACCCTGGCTACTACACTGGCGTGGGGTACACACCCACAGAGGTTGATCACATCTGTTACATATGATGTGGTACACGGTACACGTGAGATGGTACGCAGTGCCAAGATAGTTGGTCACATTTTTGGGGCAAATTCGTGGGGATGCGATTACAGAAGTACATGTGTTACACTGATGTTATACAGTCCCAAGGATGACGCATGCATTGCTCATAGACTCATGGCGCTATGATCCTAACTCTCAGTGCCCAACGCGCGCGTGCACAGCCAGACGGAGGGAGAGAAACACATGTATACAAGGTTCGTGACATACGCACGGTCCACCATGTTGTAAACGATCGCATGCACGGTAAGTTCTGAAATTATACGTATGTACAAGCAGACATGCGAGGGAGAAAGGGAGATCGCGCGCATGTGCACTCCGTCTCATTTTTTGCAAGGGATGGTGGCCCTCGCAGGCGCGCAACCGTTGTTGGAGAAGTTCAAAGCACCTGAAGAAGTAGCACGCAAAGACCCTTTTGACAGAAATGTTTAAAAAGTGGTGTGTTTCCTATGAATCCGCAAGAGCGCGCGGAAGGACATTTTGACAATTTTTTCTTAAAAAACCATTGGGTTTTTGATGTTTTTATGTTAAAATCGTTACGAAACCTAAGGTTTTGGAAGGATTTCGTCTTGCGAGCGCGAATGTCCACTTTACCTTATTTTTTGCAAGGGATTCTTGAAATTTGATCAACTAAGAACAAGAATTTTCATTTTCTATTGTTTTTTGCAAGGGAAAACGAGCGTCAACAAAAAACCGGATCCGGGGGTAATCCACTTTTCTGAAGCTTTCGCAGAAAAATGATGAAAATGTAGCTGCGGCCTAGGTTTTGGGCGGGGGGCGTGCACCAGGGGGTCCAACAATAATAATTCTTTAGAAGTAATAGTGTTCAACAACGGCAACAACAAAAACACCACCAACAATAACAACAACTACGGCTACAGCTACAACTACAACAGCAAACACAACAACAACCACAACCACAGCCACAACAGCAACAGCAACAGCTACAGTAACAGCACCAGCAACAGCAACACGATTTACACTATTAAAAACATCATCAACAACAATACCAACAACAGCACCAACAACTACAACAAGAAACACCACCACAACCACAACAACAACCACAGCAACAGCAACAACAGCAGCAGCAGCAGAAACAACAACAACAACCAAAGCAACAACAACAACGACGACGACGACAACGATGACGACAACAACATCGCGAGCATCAAGATGATGATCATTTTCATCAGTATCATCATCATAATCATGATCATCATCAGCAGCATCATCATCATCATCATCTGCATCAGCATCATCATCGTCAGCATCATCAACATCAACATCATCATCAGCATAATCATCATTATCATCACACCCCTCCTTTTCTCCATCGCTTACCTTATGAATGCCTCGCCCCTGTCTTACCCTCAGACATGTGGGTAGGACGGGCCCAGGCGTTTCTCCTGAGACTTCCTCACAATGCATGCATCTGAAGCTTGGAATTTGCAACAGTTTTACGGCTGGAGGGCGGGCAGTTTTCAAATTGTTGTTCTCACCTCGGCGCCACGCACATTCGTCTTACAAGTGTGCAACAACTTCATGGATGGAGGATGGGGCATTTTCAAAATGTGGCTCTCACATTGGCGCCGCGGAGGATGGGCCGCTTTCAAAATGTGGCTCTCGCCTTCAGGCCACGCACGTTCGTCCTAAAACTTCGCAATAGTGTCACGGATGGAGGCGGCTCGTTTTCAAAATGTGGTTCTCGCCTTAGCGCCGCGCACATTCGTTAAAAAAGCTTGCCACAGTTTCAAAGATGAAGGGCGGCTCTTTTTCGAGATGTGGCTATCGCCTCAGCGCCGCGCAAAGTTGTGTAAAAAATGCCCAGCAATTTCAAGGATTCGCATGGTCGAATTTCCAGGAATAGTGCTCTGGACACATTTAGAGTTGCAGTGGCGCATGGCTTGTTAATCCCACCAGCCCTTTGGGCGTGAGTGGTTTAGCGAGCTCTCTCTGTCCTCAACCCCCCTTCTTCCCCTTCGGGGAGGGGTTTACCCCTCCCCCTACCCCCTCCCCCTGGACCTGGAGAGGGAGTCCCGAGCGTGGTCAGGGGAGTCTTTTTCGACGCCTGGGAGGGCCAAAAAACGACGACCCTCACGAGGATTCTGGCCCCGAGGGGGGGGGGGGGAGTTTGGCGCCTGAGCTCGTCGTTGAAGCAAAAACATTGATTTTACTAGGGTTTTGGCCCCATTTTGGACTCCTGAGGGGGCCGCGCTCATCTTCCTTTATAGCAAAATCATTGATTTTACGAAGTTTTGGGCTCATTTTGTCCTTCTCAGGGGGCAGCGCTCATCTGCGCTTCTGAGGAGGTCGCAAGAGGCCCCAAGATGGCCCCAAGAGGCCCCCAGGAGGCTCCCAAGAGGCCTCCAAGAGGCCCCCAAGAGGCCCCCAAGAGGCCCCAAGAGGCCCCCAAGGGCCCCCAAGAGGCCCCCAAGAGGCCCCAGAGGCCCCAAGAGGCCCCAAGAGGCCCCCAAGAGGCCCCCAAGAGGCCCCCAAGAGGCCCCAAGAGGCTCCAAGAGGCCCCCAAGAGGCCCCACGAGGAGCCCGAACGACTCACACCAGGACGAGGGGCCCGAACGACTCACACCACGAAGAGCCCGAACGACTCACACCACAAGGAGGGGCCCGAACGACTCACACCAGGACGAGGCGCCCGAACGACTCACACCACGAGGAGCCCGAACGACTCACACCACGACGAGGGCCCCGAACGACTCACACCACGAGGAGCCCGAACGAGTCACACCAGGAGGAGGGGCCCGAACGACTCACACCAGGACGAGGGGCCCGAACAACTCACACCACGAGAAGCCCGAACGACTCACACCAGGACGAAGAGCCCGAACGACTCACACCACGAAGAGCCCGAACGACTCACACCAGGAAGAAGGGCCCGAACGACTCACACCAGGACGAGAAACCCCAAACGACTCAAATCACGAGGAGCGCTTTCTCTCCCTCCTCCTCCGCCTCGTCCTTCTCCCGCTCCCCCCACAGGAGGATGTACAAGGAGGCGGGAGGAAGGAGGAACAGGGGAGATATGCGGGGCCAAGCGGACACACGCCTGAAAAACACGACTGTCGGCATGTTTCGCAAGAGTTGCTGCTGTGAGATGGGCTGGTGGGGATACGCGAAGCGTAAAGAATTCGTTGTGTCGAAATCCCAGGAAAAGTGTTCTGGCACGGCTTACGATGTTCAAGACGCAACCACCAAGTTGAAATCCCTTCGATTGTGTTGTGGAACGGTTGAGGATTCTCAAACGGTTGCCTCCCAATGATGCGTCCCCGCAGTGACAATCCGCCACCGTACCCTTGGCACGAAGGGAGTGCACCAAGGCTCACAGCTATGCTGCTGCTGCCAAGATTACGAGGATACTCTTCATGCCATAGGCCTATAGGGCTATAGTGCTGTAGGGCTGTAGGGCTACAAGGCTAATAGAGCTATAGCAGGGCTATGGGGCCATGGGGTTATCGGAGGTTGGGGGGTGAGATCGAAAAGAAACGGAGAGCCCCCCTACCGGGAAATCGATTTCGGTTTCGTGTTCGTCCGTGCCGTGCGGGCGAGGCGAAGCTGCGTGGGCGGGCGAGAGAAAGTCTCCTGTGGCTGAGGCGCGGCCGGACCAAATGACTCCCTTCTGGGCGGCCGGTGGCCCGCGGTGTCCCGCCGGTGTCCCGCTGGTGTCCCGTGTGGCTGAGGCGCGGCCGGACCAAATGACTCCCTTCCGGGCGGCGGTGGCGCCGCGGTGTCCCGCCGGTGTCCCGCTGGTGTCCCGTGTGGCTGGGCGCGGCCGGACGAAATGATTCCCTTCCGGGCGGCCGGGGCCGCGCGGTGTACCGCCGGTGTTCCGCCGGTGTCCCGTCCGTGTCCCGTCGGTGTCCCGATGATGATGTTGATGATGATTATGATGATGATTATGATGATGATGGTGATGATGATGATGATGGTGATACTGATGATGATGATGATGTTGATGATGGCGATGATGATGATGTTGACGTTGATGATGATGATGATGATGATGATGATGACGTCGATTGCGAGATCGATTGTGATATCGGTAGTGAAACCGAATGTGAGATCGATTGCACGATGCTGATGGTGATGATGGCCTCCATGGTGTTGATGTTTGTGATTACGATGACGACATTGATGATGATGATGATGGTGATGATGATGATCATGATGAATACGATGATGATGATGATGCTGATGATGATGATGTTGATGGTGATGTCGATGATGATGATGACGACGTGGATTCGCGGCTGTTGGTCGTGCCTTGCGCGACTGCCGTCCACGGGCAGGGCCCCGAGCACGTCGGGTCGGGGTCCGGGGGGCTCGGGTGTCCCAGGGGCCTTGGTACGGGTGTCCCAGGGGCCTCGCGGGCCCCGGGGTCCTCGGCTCTCAGGGCCTCCCAGGGTTCAAGGGTCCAGTCTGGGGGTCGAGGGCTCCAGGGGCTCGAGGCCTCCAGAGGTTCAGGGGTCCAGTCTAGGGGTCGCCATCACCATCACAATCTCATAATCATTACCACCATCAACAACATCATCACCATCGCCGGGACACCACCGTCAATTCTCGTACCATTCACGGATTTTGGCGCAAGGCTTCTGTTGCACTCGACACTCGTGGTTCCCCCCCAACGCGCCCACTTCGGTCACGCACTTCCTTCGGCTTCGCTACGAGGGGCGAGGCTCTGCCAACCGAAATGCTCGACAAGAATGTGGAGACGCTGAAGAACATGAACACCCAGACGGCCAAGTACGCCAAGTGGTACGTGAGGGTCCTCGACCCGAAGGTCATTGATTACACGTTCACAGTGAGGAACGAAAAAGTGGAGGCGCAGAAGTTCAGTTGCGTTTTGGTGTCCAACGCGCCCGCGCAGTACATGCTCGGCGCGGTGCCCTTCAGTTTCAAGAATCGGGCTGCGGCAGCCGAAGCCTTCAAGAAATTCACGGCGGACTCCGTGTGGGAGCTCCGGACCCCGAGCTTCGACACCAGAGCCAAGTCGGACTTCATCGGCGGCCCATTGAAGTCGGTGGTCCTGCTTTGCAACCCATCGACACTGACCCGACTCCCGCCCACCAGCACGGAAGCGTTGGCGCATCCCGCTAAGGGGCTGCAGATCGCACTGGATATCAAGGGCATCGTGGAGCTTCTCAAGGGGACTGCTACTGGTGCAAGCAACCGGGCGGCCTTCGACTTCTGCGGCAAGTTCCTCGGCATCACCACTCCCAAGCAAGTCAGTAAGAACGGCAGCCTCCGAATGGTGGCCGAAGCGGAGTTGGGCAGGTTCCCAGGGGGAGGGCCGAATGGTACCAAGGCGCCAAAGAGCAAAGGGTGACGTAAACAACTCGACACCAACGCTCCCAAGAGCGAGCGGCAACGCAACTATCTCCACTGGCACTGTCACAACAACATTCACCACTGTTGCCCATTGCTGGGCCCCTCCCCCCCCAACCTCCTTATCACCCGCAGGGTGGTCGTATAGGTAGGGCTATAGGACTACACCCGGTGTCCAAAGCGGTCCCGGGAATCTCCGGGGGTGTGTCGCGTACGCCTTCTGGAAGCCAGGAGGGTCCCAAGGGGGGCCTGGATGGACCGAGGAGGCCGCGAGGACGGCCCAAGAGAGCCTCGAAGAGCCTCACGGTCGCCCCCAAATGCTTCAAGATGGCTTGAGGACGGCCAAGAGGCCCCCAAGAAGCTCCAGGGGGGCCCAAAGAGCACCCCACAGAGGGCCCTGAGAGACCAAAATGATGGATTCCCATGAGTTTTTCAAGCATTTTAGACTCCTCGCCTTCTTCAACTGTTTACGCTCCAGGACGGCCCAAGAAGCACCCAATAGCGCCCAAGGATTGCCCCGAGGCCCCAGGAGGGCCCCATGGCGCCACAAGAGGGCCCCAAGACGGCCCAAGAGGCCCCCAAGACGGCCCTAGAGGCACCCCGGAGGGCCCCAAGAGGGCCCCAAGAGGGACCCAAGAGGGGGAACACGAACGGACATGTCGAGCCTTCCGCCCCAAGATGGTCCCAAGAACCCTCCAGAGGCTCCCAAGAGGCCGCCAAGAGGACCCCAAAACGCCCCAAGAGGCCCCCAAGAGGCCCCCGAAAAGCTCCCAAAAACCCTTCCAAGAGTCTCTCGAGGGGTATCCGAAGAGACCCTCATATGCATCCAAGAAGCATCTGAACCGCAGGCCAGGCACGGTAGCGGGATGGGCCGAAGGCCATTAGATAAGTTATTGTAGGGTCCGATGGCCCTATTGAGAGGGATCTTGGAGGGAAGGTTCATTGCAACATCGTTGATGCGTCTTGGGTTTATGCTGGTCCTTCTCCTCCTCCCTCCTCCTCCTCCTCCTCCTCCTCCTCCTCCTC